GTGTAACATAATTTTGACTTTTCTAGTCTTTGATTAGTAAGTATGATTTCCTAAGTGCTTTTGTCTAGAAAGCAAACGAAATGACTATTATTCTCTTCAAACTTTGCTTTTGTAATTTAGGCATCGATATTTTAAAACTAACCTAATTTAGATTATATTCCAGACAGACTCAGTGCTGAGTTGCTGAAGTAGAATTTTCTAAAAATTCCCAAAAGTTTCAAGAATTTCTGGAACGTTCTTGGAACATAACTGGCATTATAAATACAAAGAACGTAAGCTTAACAGTTCAGTTTACTTCAAGCTGCCCAAGTGCAGACAACTCGTCGTTGATAGATGCATTCGTCACAGATGGCATCAACAGGTTGTAAACACGCAGCAGACGCATTTTGCTATGTTTTGTTGCGAATTCATCAAGACAAGAGCTAAAAATTACTCTGTGTCAACATCTGTTAAAACATGTGAGGTCTACAAGGCATATTTCAGTATGCCTGTCGGGAATCAAGACAAACACTGGGAACCTCATTTCACCTGCGAACCCAATAAAATATTTCTAAATGTTTCTGAATATTTTGCTTCTTTGGATAAAAACATTGTTAAGTGTAAAAGGTTTGTAATTTTTTAAATTAAACATTTTTAAAACCAGTGTTATTGAAGGATTTTTATTAAATGTTTCGACAACCGTGCATTTGTCTCCACATTGCCATTGTTACTTTCTATGCTGGATCACTGGAAAGAGCGATAACCCCCCCCCACACACACACCCCAAAAAAAGAGACTATTAGGGATGTACAGTATTAAAGATTCCCCAATTTTCTGACATTTGCTACATTATTTTAGGTCCAAAGTCAGAATTTACATATCCAGCGCATGATTTTTACAAGTTTATCACCTTGCTCGCCAATTAATTTGGAAAAAATCCTTAATTTTCAGACGGACTTAAAAAAAAAAAAAAACTAAGAAACTGAGGCACGTTGAAATACCCGAATGATGTCAAACACCTCTACCCGACGTATGGTGATTTTCTAAGCTCGGCTTAGACGTGGCACAAGGCCGAAAGTATGGAGCACCCAGTGAGGATTGAACTCACTGCTCAGTCGTAATTGATCTAGCAAGACAAGCTTTCTAACCATTACACCACGTCGAGGTGCCCCCTCTACCCGACGTATGAGTTGACAATGAGACTCCTAAGGGCATAAAAAAGAATCGAGACACGTCTGGAGCTGAGTTTTGAACGTTTTGTTTTGGACGTGTTTATTCGTCAGTGTCACGAAAGAGACACTTTCAGGTAAAAACGTATAAACATGCCGAAGAAGAGGTTAAAAAAAAAATCATATAATTTTTTATAATTTTTAATCAAACTGGGTGAAATATATTTGCATTTTTATACTCATATTTTTATTTTGCAGCATTGTAAAAAAGGGGAAAATAGAGTCGGGAAATTAGCAATCGACAAATGAGGAGGAAACCAACTAACCACTCAAGCAAAGTATGCCCCTACTATCATATATATCTAAACCTTCTGTCATCCATCACCCCAGTGCCATACTTCCCTGAGTTCCCCGTACCCACTCCTCCAAAGACAGATGAGCTGTCTTCACAAGAGAATGAAGTCATTGATCTAGATTGCAGAGCCGCAGCTGAAGAGAGAAACCCATACTACCCAAACCAAAAAGACCTCAATACCTGATCAGAGATCTTGATTTCACAAATTTCAATGCTGAGCTTTCGACGTAGACACTCAAGCAATGGAATTCACAGGTCAGAAAAAGCGTCACCAGTGCTTGCAAGATTTTTCACACAAGAAGGGCTTTCCTTCTATCATAATATGAGCTGTCTGTTCACGTAATTGGAACCTTCTGTAACCCAGCGCCTCTTCATCGATAGCTCGTTTACGAGCTTCGCAGCCATGCTGCTTCATAACGGGAACATGTATCCATTTCTTCCCCTGGAGCATTCTGTGCAGTTCAAAGACGAATACAGCATTGTCAACATCTGGCTAGGTGGATTGCGGTTGGGAAGTCATAAGAGATTTCTCAATGGCGGTCTTCCTCATAAATCTCCAAGGCGGCTTTACCAAGTTTCCATGTTATCTTTTGGGAGACCAGGGACACCGTGGAACACTACCACAGGCGGGACCGGTGAGAGGGGGCCGTGTTCAATGGGGGGGGGGAGAAACAACGTAAAATGGGAGAGTACTGTTAGACCCCCGGAAATATTTTTTCCTCAACTGCACTTAGAATTGGGCCTTTATGAAACAATTTATAACATCGAGTTAAGGAGTCTAGCTTTCAAGTACCTTAAGACATCTTCTCTCAGCTGTCTGCAGCAAAAGTTCAAACCGGTGTCCTCGTCGTTCCATAAATAAAGAAGATTATAGAATGCAAGGAATTCTTCAAGAAGCTCACTAGGACAGAGAAAAGCAGCGTGAAACAGTTTTGTTGCACTAGTTCGGGGCTTCCTGGGGAATCATAAGGCGGAAAACTGCATAATGGGCTGTGGGATCTCCCTCATTGTACATATTCATTGATAAATTCAAGAAAAGCATGGGTACGTATGCAGAAGAGCCAGCCGAGCACTTCCACCAGGATATATTGAACTTTGAACTCGGATTTTCAAAGCCCTTCTTCCTCATTATTTGTCTCAGAAATTTCAACTGTCTCTTTCTGATGTTAAGTATAAGTTTCTATTTTGTTTCCGTTCACTATAAAAAATCTCCACGTTGTTCACATGGATCGAACCATCGTATCCTCAACGTCCTTCTGTAGAACAGCATTTATGTTGTTTCAAGTCTTTCGTCGTCTTTGAAGAGATTATCCAGCATTCACTGTCATATAGGAGGACAGATATCAGGTGACAGTTTAGTACTTATTTCTTTGCTTCTAACGAAATTTTTCTTTCTCTTTTCTGCTTAGCTTTTGGAATACATCTTTGGATATCCAAATGCGTCTTTGAAGTTCAGTGTCGCACTTTCCGTCCTCTGTTAAAACACTTACCAGATATTTAAATTTGTGTACTGGTTTTATTTTGGCAATCTCAATTTGCAATTTGGCCTCATCCTTTTGCTAACAACCATGCATTCTCCTTTTTTGTAGTGTATGTTTAGTCCTTCTCGCTTTCCATCGCTACCTTCTGTATAAAGTTTTATAGTTTCCTTTTGGTGTCTGCTATCAACAGTGTGACATCAGCATTTGTTAAAATTTATTACGCAAATAATAAATCCTGATAGACATCTAATTCTCACAGACTTATCTCACTGTAATGGTTGAATATGTTTTACACGACTTTGTGTTTTTGTGTATTTTCTGAACACATTTTCTACATTTTGCTGCAATTATAGGTTCTTGATTATTATATTTGACCATCGATAAATAAAATAGGACTGCAAATAAAAAATGTGCGTGAAGAAAGAATATGTCACAGTAATTTTCTGAATAGAGTAGAGATATCTTGTTTGGCTGTGACTTTTATCTGAATCCGAAAGTTGTCAACTAAATTAGTCAACAGGCATTAAACAATCTCTTCTCTCTATATATAGTTTCTCTCTCTCTCTCTCTCTCTCTCTCTCTCATATATATATATAGTTTCTCTCTCTCTCATATATATATATAGTTTCTCTCTCTCTCATATATATATATATAGTTTTTCTCTCTCTCATATATATATATATATAGTTTTTCTCTCTCTCATATATATATATATGGTTTCTCTCTCTCATATATATATATATATATATATGGTTTCTCTCTCTCTCTCATATATATATATATGGTTTCTGTTCTCTCTCTCTCTCTCTCATATACATATATATGGTTTCTCTCTCTCATATACTTATATATATATATATATATATATGTAATGTATGTGTGTGTGTGTGTGTGCTTGCCAGCGTGAAGTAGTGCTCATTGAACATTTAAGTAAGTGCTTGCTTTTTGTCCTATGTTTTCTTTCTTAACGATTTTATATCTTGCCTTGTTTAGTTTTTTGTCAATTATTCTGCTGTTCGCACTAACATTCTTGAATTTGTGTTTATATCATTGGTTGGATCTTCGTTTTCGGGTACACCCGTCTGTTAATGCAACTAGTCATTCGCCATTGCAGGTGCCCGCTCAGCCACATTGATGATTTTCAATACCGATATAATTAACATGTGGTCTATACTGCAGCTATGTTCAGCGGACTCTAGTTACAGTTTCTGCATGAGTTCACACACAAACACGGTACTTTGTGACTTCGTGTTAGCATAACCATCGACAGCTTTCGAACATTTGCGGCTACCCAACCGGCGACATGGTTTGCAGGTACTATCCAACAGCACATATACATATGAGTGTAAGTTAAGCATCAAGAGCCAGGTCTGTACTTAGATGGGGGACTGCTTGGGAACACCTGGTACTTCTTTTTTTTGGGGGGGTACCTCGAGGCGATGTAATAGCAAACTTGTCTCTCTAGAACAATTACAACTGAGTAGTGAGTTCCATCCTCACTGGGTGCCCTATACTTTAGGCCTTCTGCCACACCCGTGATACGTTTGGAAATCACTATACATGTACGAATTTATCTGCGCACGTTTGTACATAAGTCCGAAGCATGATGTTGGGAGGCTCATTTTTTTTGTTTTTTTTTTTTTACAAAAAAATAGACTTGCCAGTGCCCTTATTCAGTAGTGAATATTAATCATATATACTGAAAATTATGGTCGAAAATTAACAGCAGTATCAGATTTTATACTGCAAGTAAGTTGGGCAGAGCCCTGCGATATAGGAGGATATCTTTGGTAACAAAGAAAAAATACTGAACTGTTACGTGACATCTGTCCTTTACGGCAACGAATGTTGGATGATTTATTCAAAGATGAAGAAGAGACTCGAGAAGACAGAGATGTCCTTTCACAGAAGGATGCTAAGGATATCAGGGACCGAGCGTAGGAGCAACGATGAGACCTTAGGTTGAAAAAACAAAGAGAAAGCTCATACTTAATATCAGAATGAGGCAGCTGAAATTTATGGAACATAATGAGCAAGGATGGCCTGGAGTATGTGATACTCATGGGACGAATAAAAGGGAAAGAGAGAAAAAGGGAAAGAGAGAAAAAGGGAAAGAGAGAAAAGGGAAAGAGAGAAAAGGGAAAGAGAGAAAAGGGAAAGAGAGAAAAGGTAAATAGAGAAAAAGGAAATAGAGAAAAGGGAAAGAGAGAAAAAGGAAAGAGAGAAAAGGAAGAGAAAAGGTAAATAGAGAAAAGGAAAAGAGAAAAAAAGAGAAAGGGAAGAGAAAAGGGAAAGAGAGAAAAAGGAAATAGAGAAAAGGGAAAGAGAGAAAAAGGAAATAGAGAAAAGGGAAAGAGAGAAAAGGGAAAGAGAAAAAGGAAAGAGAGAAAAGGGAAAGGGAGAAAAAGGAAAACAAAGCGTGACATACATGGCGGGCTTAAGCAAGTGAATGGCAGAATGTGGTCTGCGAGAGGAAGCAGAGGGAAGGAAATTGTTGAGAGTTGCAAGGGACAGAAGGAGGTGGAGAGCCATGATCGCCTACGTCCTGGAAGGACATGGCACATAAAAAGAAAGAAGAATTTTATCAATAAAAGTGGTAGGAATTGATATGGGGTTATCTGTATTAATTCAAAGACAGAAAGCTTATCAATATAAAAGTTCGAGGAAAATCCTTTCCTTTATATGAACAAATATCTGTAATTATTAACAAATATTGATAATACTTTATTCTGTAGGGATGTCATGATTTATCATGAGTTTCTACGTGTATATACATGATGCAGTAGAAACACCTGCCAAGTAATGGTAAGAAATTAGCTAGATAAGACAACATCGCCACTAATGTCTTACCATTATGTAGGGGGTATTTCTATTGAGTCCTGGTATATTTGGGTTGTTGCTTTCGCTGAACAGAAGATTATAGAGCGTTTGCATTTAGGAAAGAAAAATATGGCCTATGTCCATCTTTTTTTTTTCATTTCAAAGCATACCTAATTTGTTTGCGAAAACAAATGTTTTGAGAATACGTAAAACCACAGAAGATTTTGTTAAAATGTTAAAGGCAAAAAAAAAAAAAAAAAAAAATAGCACCCTCTCTGAAAGATAAAATAAACAAATATAGAATAACTGCCTGAAAAGCAATAGATATAGTTTATAAAGGTACTCTAAAATAAATGATTTAAAAGATATATAAAGATTTTAAAAGCTTTTCTTATAACAATGGACGTTATGCAAACGCCGCTTGTGGAAAATAAGGTATTTGATGAGTCGACTAAAGAAAAAAGAAAAGAATTGAAAAATAGTTTGGAAAAGAAAAAACAAAACAAAGTGCAGAATGGCAAAAGCAGAGAAAAATAGAAGCAAAATAAATTCTTCTTTGTCATTTATAAATATAAAACCACTTGGATCCCCACAGAGCTTAAAAAGAAAATAAAGCAACTTAACTCTAGGGATATTTTAGTCTGTATTAACATTCCTTTCGGGTAGGGTATTTTTTTAGCCTTATTTTTTATTGTAAAAATAAAATTTTAAAAAATTCAGAAAGGCGACAAAATATGCTGAATGTCTCAAAACTTTCAGGAAATAAAAAACTGTATGAAAAAAAATAAGAATGTAAACACTTTTTTAAATAATAAAAGAATATATATATATATATATATATATATATATATATATATATATGTGTGTGTGTGTGAGTGTATTTCCTTGTTTGCCGATTAGGCGTTGTTTCTATTCTGTGAATGCCTCTATACTTTTGAAATGTTTTGTGATTTATATTTCAAAACTCTTCGCTGTGATTTGTGTGGTTGATATAGAAGCCTTTTCACGTCATATTCAAGTAGACTATATATGTTTTTAAGAAAGTTGTTTGTTCTAAAAAAAGGATTATCCAGGTTCAAGTCTTTGATGTTTGTTTACTTGAGCATTCAAGCAGTTAGAACTTTTCAGATATTTCTCTGTAATCTTATCATCAACATCGAAAGAATTCGTAATGATCTGTAAACATTAACGTTGAGGAACAGACAAAATAATCTATATTTATATTGATAACCTCTGATATAAAAGGATATAAGAATCATGTGGATGTGATTTTGTTTGGCTATTTTTTATGATTGCGAGTTGTACTGAAAATCTGTTTACGATCGCAGGTGCTAAGCAGTAATAAAATGTATATGTAGTTATTTAGTCCTTGTCTTGGGGTATTTCGCTAAGAAAGGGAATCGATTGGCTATAACGGTGCAAGAAATACTTTCACAAGGTATCTGGAGTGATCCAGACAACGATGAAACACACACACACACACACATATATACATATATATATATATATATATATATATATATATATATATATATATGACATACAATAGGAATTAAGATATTAGTTATTATCATAACATGCAAATTAAGATAATTTGCAAGGATTTTCAAACCGGTCATCTTAACAAGAAAAATGAAATGAGTTTCATTTTATTTTTCATGTTAATATATATATATATATATATATATATATATTTGGCCAGAGCACACACTCGTTATTCCATCTTAAGGTTTTGGCGACGCTGTTCATCAGGTCCAGGCGATCTGCTTTTGTAAACAAAGAGACTAAATGCTTGGTCTTGCTGTGCTGTGTCTCTAGCATCTTTGTTGGTATAACTTCTTATTTTCGACTTTTTTGTTTTTTCTACCCGTCCATTCATTCATGTCATCCGCGACAGATTTTCTTTTCATAATTTGTTTCCCCGTTTACAGTTCTGATGAGAGTGGACGAAACCGGTCGACTGGTGTTTGTGTTTTTATTTTAAATTTATCATGGCTTATAATAAAAAAAAAATAATTCTTCCTTTTTATGCCATAAGTTTTTGGACTGTTTCATATATATATATAATTTTTTCATATAGACAAAACCATTTTACTCACTACAAAGATACAACTTTGTTTCAGTGCAACTGCACTTCGACGGGTGAGAGAACAGAAAAATGGTTGTGTCACTTCCTTTTTCCATTTGCTGGAGATAAATATAAACTTGTAGGAAACAATAGCTTGTTGATAGCAGTTTAGTTAAGAATAGATGTGAAATGTCACTGGTCTGTGGAGATATCTTTTTTCCATTTGAATTAAGGAGAATTTATGATATTATATATATATAATTTATAAACAATCGATCCGTTGGTATATAATGAGACAGGAACTAATACGTAGGAACTGATGATTACAAACGACAAAGGTTCAGGTCATAAATAAACTTCAACCCAGACCCTTCACCGGGATAAAGTTGAGCCAATAGTTAACACAAACCCATTCTCATTAATAAGACGTCTTGATATTGAAATTAAATTTTAAACAATGTTCCGAGACAGGCACGTAGAGATTGATGATATATATATATATTTTCTGCTGTTTATATATATATATATATATATATATATATAAGCATATCTGAGTCGTTCGTTTCAAATAATTTTTTCCCACCTTCCAATCCTCTCTCTTACATGTTGAATGTGGCAAATCTCTCACTGCTTTGTCGTTACTTTATCGAAAGTTTCTTGGTTCCACCAGAATTAACCATTTAAGCCATGACCTGCCACACCATTTACATTGTATCAAACTACACACATTCTCTCTTTATTCCATCGGCTAGAAATAAATTCCTTTCAAACATCATCTTCCTGCAGACCATTGAAACAAACTTCCAAGAGGATGTTTACCAGATCACTATAATGTTTACCTGTTCAAGTCTAGAGTCAACCGTTATCTTCACCTCTTATCCAAATAAAGTACAATAAAATGAACATATATATATATATATATATATATATATATATATATATATATATATAGAGAGAGAGAGAGAGAGAGAGAGAATTAACGAGAGTAAAAAAAAAATGTCGCTAAACTTCAGCATTCAGACTCAAGAATTTCGTACACTCATCAGGGTATATCAGCGCTATATATATATCCGATGCAATGAGAACGAAAGTAATATATAAATTCTAACATTCACGGCATTAATTGAAAACAGGGCTCGATACCGATAGTAGAGCGATATTTATTATAATCTCTTCATATAGACAAAAACAGTTTACTTATTACAAAGATGCAACTTCGTTTCGGTGCATTTCAATTGCACCACGACTGGTCAGAACCAAAAAGTCGAGGTGCAACAGAAATGCACCGAAAAGAAGTTGCATCTTTGTAGTGAGTAAACTGTTTTTGTCTATATGATACAATTATGATAAATTAATAATATATATATATATAGAGAGAGAGAGGCAGAGAGACAGAGACAGAGAGAGGGACATTTTAGATATAATCACTATGCAGTGTTGCTTTCACAGCTGGTTGCAATCTTCAGACCAAATGCCACTACTTCGTTAGCGACCACGATATATAGAACACTGGGGTATTTCTGTATAGATTTTATAAAAGATGATGTGTGTTTGCCCTGTGTTAGTTAATGTGAAAATAGTTATCAGGATTCATTCTAAGTATTTTCTACGTAATAATGTTTTAGCAAATACATTCACTTTTACCAAAAACATCTTCCAATCAACATACAGATATTACAAGAGATAAATAAAAATCCACACTAAACGCACAAAAGCATAACCGAACTTTGTATAGAACACTGTGAATTCTGATACAAAAACACACGGAATTATAGAAAGGAACGAATACATGAGAGGTCTGCTTCTTAGTAGAATACAAACAAAACAAAAATAACAAAAAGAATACGTGAATTTTATTTTCTAGTTCACATTTCATTTTTTGATGAAATTTAAATAAAAGCGAAATATTTTAAATGCATAAAACTTTTCTATTTGTTCCTTATCTTATCATTCTGTTAGATTTTAATCCATATTTTTCTCCCAATATATATATATATATCGGGTGCAACAGCATAATTGTCTAATTGCTGGATTAAGCTTTGTATCATAGAAATGATTAAAGATATCTTACTGGAATTCTAAGAGATTCTTATAACACGATTGGACTCTACTTTGAGAGATAAGAATGTATAATTACTATTCAAGCTTAACAGAGGAATCATGATGAAATCGATCATGAACAAAAATGTTATGTCCATCATTGATTAATCATAGCTAAGGATCGGAAGCACATGAATAATTGAAATAATTATATATATATATATATATATATATATATATATATATATATATGTGTGTGTGTGTGTTATTCAAGATGATCTTAGGCCTCTCCAATCTTCTAACTTTATGTCCTGGAGTAACAAGTAGCCTCACTGGTTTCACGTACAATTTTATTTTAAATCTTTTTTACTGTTCTTTGGACTGTCATAGCTGAAACTCATCTCTTACCTGTCAAACGTGTAACAAATTGAGCTGGAACTTTTCAAAATGATCCCTTTAGCTCTAAATTGAAATGACGATTCCTATTCCTGTTGTGACCTTCTGATCCAGTATTCCTATCTACACTTTTTAAAACTTATTCACCCTTGAAAGGATTTTGAAGATGGAAGACAAAGTAGGAACTTTGATAACATTTCTGAAGGCA